GGAAAACTGTAGAGTTTTAGATATATTTTTCTCATTAAAATAAAAGTATATGAAGTATGGTACTTTGACAGAACCAGGGCCGTAGCTGTGTGTGGTAGTCGAACGACCACCCCTATATTCTAAAAGAGATGAAATTATCGACTATTTTCTTATTTTTCATGTCACTAACTTAGATTCTTTGTGTAAAACAAAAAAGGGTCCACATTTTGTGAAAAAATACCCCCTCCCTCTGTTGTGCCTGACTACGCCCTCTATAGAACTACACCCAATTTTTGAAGGTTTATCAAACGTTTTTTAAAAACTTTTAAAAGCACGTACTTGTAACTTTCTGTTAATTTGTTCAAAGTATTTGTAACTAATGACGATTTTGTTTCGTCTGATTGATTAGACTTTCAGGTAGACATGTTACACTATAAAGCGAACCATTTGATGAGTTTTAATACAAACTTACGAAACTTCATATATTATATACATATTTTGATATCGTATTATTCTCTTTTATTTGTAATAAAACTTTTTAAAATATAAACTGTCGCAGTAATGTTCTTATTACATACAGAAAGTAGGAATAAAATTTCCCCAAGTGCTTTAACATGGTAATAACATTAAATTTTCTTTGTGTTTGTTCTTCATAACCTTCAAAACATGGATTCTACGTTTTTGTTTAGGAACAAATTAACCTTCTTTGCTCACACGTTAAAGTTCAGGCATTTGTGGATTTCTATTAACTTTAGGGAATATTTAAAAAGCAGAACTTCCATAGCTCAGCACTTTTTATTGTCCTTCTCACCCTCAAAGACTCAAATGGGTCAATCCATTTCATCGTTCTTGACTAAAATAACTCTGATACACTTATGTTCTATAGTTAGGACGTGATGAATCACACGAGCCATCTTACTTTAAAATATGACAGTAATAACATACCTCAAGAATTAGTTTTCGTTAAGATGGTGTAAAACAGCTGCCTTTATCCAAATTAATCAGGCATTGACAGACGAAGAGCTATTAACATTTTGAACTAATACTACGAATAATTTTGAATATATAATCAGGATCAAATGATTATTTGGTACATCGAAATCTTGCTTATTACAGAAACTAATGTTTTTAAACTAACTGTAGTTAATTACACTTCTACTTTAATGGCAAAATTATAGTTTTAAACTGAAAATGTATAATTTATTTATTTACTTGCTCAAACTTCAATAAAAAAAAAGCGTGCTCATTCATCAAAAACCTCAAGCATTACAGGATGACTAGACGGAGGTGTAATAAGAGCAGCAAGCTTAGTAATAGCAACAAATTATTGACATCTTTGAATGATGAGCAGCAAGCTGAAATGCCTTTGTTTGCGTAATGTTTTTATTTAGCTGGGTCAAAAACATTAAGATAGCAGGGTATAATCAAAGTTCTAATTAAAAAACAAATCATAGCGCTTTAAGCGTGCCTCCAATATTATACTAACGCCTTTATAATAAATCTTCATATGATTTTTTTTCAAGCATATCTTAGGTTGGATGGATAAACATAAAACCTTGATAATGACTAATGTAATTCTAATTAATGTGTACATTAACAAATGAAGTATCTGTCTATAAAGTTTGAGTTGAAAGTATGATTTAAAATTTCAGTAAAACGTGAAATATTACACTTGAATATTTTTAATGATAATCTAATACTGACATATAATTCATCATGTCTACATACTTCAAACTAAGAAAGCTTGTTCCCAGGAAAACATAAAATCCTTTTATTTTATGTTCATTTATATGACATATCAAACAATTTATTTTCCAATGTAAAATAATCTATCTTGAAGAAGCTTTAGGTTATCACGTGATATGATACACAAAGTGGAACAAATGTCAAGTATTACAAAAAAGTCTACGTGAGAAAGATATAGCATAGATAAACTTTGCTCATCAGGAAATTGAAAAGTAATATGAAAGAAGCTTATTGGATAAGATGTAAGCGTAAGTAAGAATGGGCCAATCAGAGAAGAGTTGTTAAATTATATATTGGAGCAGCTAAAAGTATTAACGACACTCTTCTATTTTTATCCAGTGCGCCAAGATCCTGAGGGCTGGCCAGTTCTTTCCTTAGTCTTCAGGTAAGTTCAGGATCAAATCATTTACATTCACGTTAAATAATTTAGGTTTAGCGTTTCTTGAAACTGAAAGTCACAGTTATGTAATAAAAATAAAAAACTGAATATGATGATTACTGACTGGGAAGAAGATTAAGGATGGGTTAGCATGGTTGAAAAATATCGGAAAACAAAATAGTGCATTAGTTTGCATGTTATTATGCATAATAATATGAGACATTCAGATTTTGATGTAAAAAGTTTAGGGATTTTTTCAATATTAAGTAAATCGATTACGTAGTTTCATAGAAACATTAAGTTACAAAACTGAGTACCAAAACAATGTAATATGTAAATTGTTTGTTTTTCATATACTTTTAATTCCATCGAAAATCTGTGAATAAAAAAATTTATTAAAGAAACAGTGTTGGTCACCCGGTGATTAAACGTTAAGTGCAAAGACTTACAACGTTAAAATACGGGGTTCAATTCCCCGCGGTGGATAGAACACAGATAGCCCATTGTGTAGCTTTGCGCTAAGAAAATCACCAGCAGTGTCGTTCCAGTGAACAAGTCGAATCATATCTTCCTAAAATCAAAAGTTAAACCTCTATTTTCTAATAATTAACAGTACAGTACAGTCAGTTATGTACATTCGTGTTTTTACGGAATTATTGAATAGCCAAAACTCACGATTTACAGACTTTGTATATATATATTAAGAATGGTTAATGAGAGTAAATCACCAGTAGTGTCGTTCCAGTGAACAAGTCGAATCATGTCTTCCTAAAATCAAAATTTAAACCTCTAATTATTTTCTAATAATTAACATAAAAATACAGTCAGTTATGTATAGTTATGTTTTTTACGGAATTATTAAATAGCCAAAACTCATGATTTACAGACTTTGTATGTATATATTAAGAACGGTAGTGAGGGGTAGCTATTCACATACATGAGGGGATGATGGGTATAATAATTTTAAGGAGGATACACCAACTTTTAAGTTTTAGACACTTTTAAAGGATATAATGCAAAACAATCTAAAAATGTCGTCAGATTGTTAACCGATTAATTTTGTATTTAAAGCAGTTTTATGTCAAAAGTACCAAGATGAGGTATCTCTCAATCAAACAAACACTGTTTCATTGAGTCTTGCGTGTAAGATTTTCGGTCTTAGTGGTCACTATCGACTTTACTCAAAACATCAACACTATGATCAGTAAGGAGGAAACACTTGGAACATGATAAAGAGGCCCTGGTTACAACAGCCTGAAATACAGCAAATATTTCCGAACGAACTCCGAATTTTTCTAAATGTTTTGCCTTTAATGTCAATTAAATTGTTAGGTGATTTTTATCAAACTCAGCGCAGTCTGCTTAAAAATATTTTGAATGGATAGATATTTAGAATTTAAAGATCTTTCAGAAAACAGCAACAATAACCAGTGCGGCAGGAACCGGGAGAGCGATCACCCCCGTTAGTTTTGTGTAGAGGGAGCAAGCAAGAGAGGCTTCGTTTATCTTCAAGTAGAGGAATTCCTATGAGGATCAAAACAACAGCGAAATTTCCATTTAGAGATTCTAAATTTTCAAAATTTATATATTGTATATTGTCACTGGTTTGTCACAAGTTTCTCAATAACAATACCATTTAAGTGAAAGTGATATATGATAATTTAAGGTCCGTTGAAAGTCACCTTCCCTCCCCCCCCCCCCCCTGGCAAAAAAGACGTTCCTACACCATTGACAACAACAACAAATTGTGGAAAGAGGTACACATGTTCGTCCTTTTCAATAATTGCTTAAAAATAAGAAATGATTAAATGCAAAATTCTTCATTATTTCACGTTACTACTTGGAAAATAAAACTATAGTTTTTTTTCGTATAAACTCACAGTCAAATTCTTAGATGTTAAAGTTATGTAATTATCTGCATGTTAGAAAACACATGTATTCACAACACGATTTAAATGTTATTGGTAGGTCGTTGTCTGCTTGACATATGGGAAGGGGGAAGTACAAGCACCTTTTGGTTTATAGTGGAGTGGCGTTTTGGAATCCAAGTGATGTGGAACTCGAATTCAACGTTTTCTCAAATATTATCTAGATCAGGTCGACCTACTGATGGTTCGCGGTCCGTATCTTGCCCCAAACTGAGTTTGTCCAGCCCACATACATATTATTAATATTAATCATATGTTAAGTTTCAGTTTCATGAACTAAAAAACAACAACTTTGATAAACAAATAAATTTTAATAATAAACTCACATCTGTTAAGGCAAATACGTAACAAAGTATAGGTCACAAATGTTTCAATCTTCCATAGTCTGGTCTATATAGGGAAAGGTTGAACTATCCTGCTCTATGTAATAACATAAACATAATTAACAATATAATTAGTATTATTTTGTTTACTAGCAAGCCATGAAATATAATATTCTGAAGGCAATACGTTATATCAAACGTTAAATCTAGTGGAAAAAATTCCAAATAAATTAACCTTTATATGAAAGTGAAAATTTCGCGAAAAAAAACGTGGATTAAGATGTTATGAAACCTTATATCTACCCAGTTTTATTTAGACTCGAATCTTTGCAAGTAAAGGGAGTCCAAGGACTCCTTATTTAGCCATGGGAAACGGAAGACCATCAAAATCTATTTTTAGTACCAAATATGCACTATACTGTATGAGATATTTGTCCAGATTCTATTTACGTGAATACTAGTTGCACGAAAGCGACATCTAGATGGAAAATTATTTTGCTTGTCTCACGCAAGGACATGAATATGTAATTGAAGCTTGTACTCCGTTGATATTGAAATGTATCAAATAAAAATACGGAATAGTGAATTGAATGTTTTATGTAATATTTTCTTGATTTGAATATATTCACGCTTTTATCAACATTACTCTATATGTTTATTTTTTCTATTTTTAGCATGACATTTTCATTTCATAAGAAACATCAATATTTCAAAAAATAAAACTTTTTAAGAGGCTGTTTGATTTTAACAATTACTGATGAGTTTCCAGTGTTATTTTTACAACTATCAATTAATTATAAAACGGAAGTTTCTGTTACTTGCTTACTTTGTAAAATATTTCTAAATATTTAATATTCCACAGTAGTAAACGTTAGGGAAGTTGATTTTCCTCATTAAGAAAAACAAGAATTATTTGTAGGAAGTTCTAAAGATCATTTCCAGGATAATTTGAATTTGCTGAATAAAAAATTTATATAGCTAAGCTTAGCATTATACTGCTCAGAGAATGAAGACACTATGAAACGTACTGTAATAGTCAGAAAATAAACACTGTGCAATAGTGCTGTAGTGGTTAGAAAACAAACACTCCAGATAATGGTATTGAAGTGTTCAGAAAATAAACATTGTGTAACGGTACTGTAATAGTCAGAAAATAAACACCCTACGGGACGGTACTGTGATGGTCAGATAATTAAAACTGTAAAACGCTACTGTACTGAACAAAAAATAAACAGTCTGTGTAACAGCATGTAGTTGGCAGGATATGAATAGTCTGTGAAACAGTAATGTTGTGGTCAGGAAATATACAGTCTATATAACAGTAATGTAGTAGTATAAAATAAACAGTCTATGTAACAGTAATGTAGTAGTATAAAATAAACAGTCTATATAACAGTAATGTAGTAGTATAAAATAAACAGTCTATGTAACAGCAATGTAGTAGTATAAAATAAACAGTCTGTGTAACAGTAATGTAGTAGTATAAAATAATCAGTATGTGTAACAGTAATGTAGTAGTATAAAATAAACAGTCTGTGTAACAGTAATGTAGTAGTAGGAAATAATCAGTATGTGTAACAGTAATGTACTGGTCACAAAATAAACAGTATATGTAACGGTATAGAAGTGAAGGGTTAATATAGTAAGTAATGTATAGTGCCATGACACACATGGTAAATTTTAGCACAAACATCACTAATATTTACGTTCTATTTTACAGATTTTCTCCATTCTATAACATTCGCCAACATGTCTGACACTATGAGGTATGTATGTAACTTGTGTAGTATCAGCAGGAATGTTTGTTCGTCTAAAAGACAAATGCGCAGACTGTTATATTATTTTACAAAATTTTAGCCAAAGGGTAGAGTTATGAAACTACGAAACCCATATAAAATAAGGCAACAAAAATGTAAAGAAATAATACAGTGCGAAAAAATAACTTTATTATTATTATTCTGTATATATATAGTGTAATGTTATATGTGATAACTGTTCTTCATGAAAATATTAAAAAATATATGTGTTGTAAACTAATTTATATTTTAATTGATATTTCTATCTTTGAATTTTACGCTTTACGGTTTTTTAATGACTTTTATCTGAACAAGTGCAAAAAATATAATCTTAATTGAAAACATGGAATAAATTTTTAAAATAGTGAAAGTAATTTCTTTTAATTTTTAGTAAATATTGCCCATCATTCTGGTAATTAATAAATACATATTTATCTCATTCATTTATTTTTGTTAATATTTATGAATTAGTTTTAAAACCAGTCTGGATATATACAGTTCAAAAAACAATCGGTAAAGAAAATAAAGGCCTAGATATTTTGATATTATTTCACTAGCTCATATGAAGACGAGGTGTTTTGTGTAATCTACGCAATTATCTTAAGTATGTTCACTTGTATTTTTGCTTGACACAGACAAGTAGCAAAATGTTATCTCTGGTTATTCTTAGCTTTGTCATGCTCGAATGTTACAACAACATTCAGAAACTAATGCATGGAAGAGTGCTTTTTATCTCTGGAACGTTTTCTTTCCAGTGGTTGAATACCTATGCTTTGCAATTCTGCATGTAATGAATTAAGAGTTATTTATATAACACTGATAAAACTGAATGTTTTTAAGTTAATAAAAGTTTTGGAGAATTTGAACTGTTGATTATTCAAACACGTGTGAATTGACGTACGCTTTATCTGAAAATGATTTATTTTATTTTTTGCGTTTTGCCTGTATTTTAATTGCAATTGTGACATCAGTTAACTTATATTTTGTATTGTTATGTAATTAAGCATATTTTTTATTTCATTGCTATATATTTCACAAAATCATATATTTTACTAAAATATATATTTCATTTGATTACAGAATAAGTTTGGAAATTTTTACTGTACATAAAGTGAAAGTAATCAATTACTTTTTTTTCTTTCAACGTTGCCATTTTTTCACGACACATCAGCGAGGTGAGATAAATACTTTGTAAACTTTTAAACCTATAGTTTTTGAAAATGATTTTCCACAATTCTCCATGTTTAATAAATCAAATAAATCGTTTTCGAATTAATTGAAGCATCACCTCTTCAATTACTTTGAAAACGTTTTAAACAGAAAAACCTAAATGATAGTTAAGTATCAAAAGTAGTCGTGGAAAAATGGTTCTGGATATCAGATGGGATAGCGACGGCAAGGAAGAGACTACCGAAGACACGGTAAATATAATTTTTTTATTTTGATAAATATAAATATCAAATTTTTCCAGTTTTATTTCCTATTTTCTCGTTAAGCCTACTAGGATAAAGAAAACTGAGACATAAAATACATGATAAAAATAACGTTAAATTAGAAAATGTTTTCTTATTTGACTCTATAAGCTGATTATCGACAAAATAATGTATTATTTAATGCGCCATGAGTTTATTTTTGAAACAATATTAATTTCCTATGTGTGTATGTTAATCGCAAGATTGAGCAAAAACATTTTCTATAAACATTACTTTATCATAAATTTCCCGGTCGGTATCTTAGGTAAAAAAAAAAAGAATAATAGAACTTATTACAATAACTCTTCTTACTATATTTATTACTTTAGTATAAAATATCTATGAAAATCTCATGACATTTCCACGTTCTTTTGTATTATTAGGCGTGTGAAATTTATTTAGTTTTTCAATATATAAAATTATATTATTTTTGTTATTATTAGTAGAAAAACTATTATAATTATGTTAGATAGCACACACACGAATACTGTCTATTATCACGTAATAATATTGTTGTAACAATTTCTATTGTTGGGCGGGTTCTTTTAGATTTTTTGACGAAAAGATACTCGAAGATAACAAAAGCATTATATTTCTTCGACCACAAGTTCTAAAAGTCAGCTTAACTAATCTTCACTGACAGACCTAAGTTCACATCAGACGCTAATATAACAATTTCATTTACTTGCTAGTTCTTACTCATTTCTATTTCCACGTAAAAATACAAACTCATTAATCACAGTACTAAACTACTAACTGAATAACAAACTCAATAACATATCTCATAAGCCCAGATTCAATGTAAATTACTGCTAAACTCAATGATCAATAATATTTTGCTTTCACCTAATTCGCATTTTATACTGTTCGAGCTGTTCTAAAACTTAGAGGATAATTTCAGACATTAAGCCACACCCTATTACGTGACGTCAAACCTTTCTCTGGCCAAACAACAATACAATCGTTTGAAGTTAAAAAGAAACATAGCTTACAACAATGTTATTAACCCATAAAAACTTTGATTACTGTCTTTTTATATAGATGTTAACCTTCTAAATACATTTATATTTATGGAAGTATTGTTACTCTATTAATTATTAAATTGTAATACAAAAAAATTATTGAATGTGAATAAATTAAATACTTAACTAATTATCAAGAAACATAACAATGAAATATTATCACTATAATATAAAACAATACAGTTTTTTACACGCAAGTAAATCATGAAAACAAAAAAAAGGAAAAAAGAAAAGGAGATTCGACTAGTTTCGACATACCAAGTTAGTAAAAGGCGGCACGTTGAAACTATTCGGGTATGCATTTTCCTTTTTTCTGTTTATTATTGGTCATATTTTATTCGTGTGTAAAAGAAAAAAGTTGTCATCATAGATATCATAATTATAAGTAGCACAAAGCACTCTCAGATCTGAATTGAAATTTTATCACAATTTATTTTGTATTCTTTCTGTTTTTCGCAGATGTTTGAAAAGGTCAGGTAGGTTTTGAAAGTTTCACCAGAAGCCGAAATAGGCCAACACTCCGATAAAAGGTATGGATTTGACATATTTAGGAGTAGACAAAAAAGAAAAAAATCACGTCATTACAAAGTACAGACATTAGACTATTAACATATTGGTAAGTTTTAAAACTCCCATAATTGTAACAGTAGCCTTGTTAAGATATGTATCATTTATTTTTATAATCTCTAGAAATGTACATTTATTTCTCATTTTTAAAGACATAATATTTAATAACGAAGATCATTTAGGTGTTAGTATAAACATTCAAAAAATCATTGCACTGAAAGTAGGATTAGGCGTGGCCTTGTGTTAAACGTACTGGACTGTGCATCTGTCAGTTATAAGAGCAACAGTCAAATCCGATAATTTGGTCAGACAAAAGTAGCTCAAGAGTTGGCTGTGGGTATTGTTGATAACTGCCTTCCCTCTAGTCTAGCACTTCAAAATTAGTGATAACTATGAACAGGTATCCCTTGTGCAGCTTTGCGCAAAAATTCTAAAACAAAATCAGTTATATGTAGTACAGCTGAGAGTGTTTTATTTTTATATTTCTTTTTGAAGTACATTTCGTTAACAAAACAATTCTATTTGTAAGTTTTTTTAAGTACTGCCAGTTAATTTTTAAACGATAGATTTATCACATTAAATTAAACAAACTTTAGTTTTGAGTGAATTTTTTCAAAATATGTCGTATCTCAGGAACTGTCCAAAGTTTCCTTTTGTTGTAACACGTCCGATATTCTCTATGTCCTAGCTGGCTAAAATAAAACCTAATGGGTGAAGTATGCATACACCCGCTAAAATATTCGTTTTGTTTTAACGGCACTCGACTTGCAATCTGCGGGTCGCGGGTTCGAATCCCATCACTGAAAATGCTCGCCCTTTCAGCCGCGAGGGCGTTATAATGTCACTTTTTGTTGGTAAAGGGTAGCCCATAAGTTGGAGGTGGGTGGTGTTGAATAGCTGCTTTCACTCTCATCTATCACTTCTAAGGTAGGCACGGTTATCTCAGATAGCCCTCGAATAGCTTTGTCCAAAAATCAATAAAATAAACAAACAAATATGTTTTCATCATTATATATAGTTTTCAAATTTATTAATGTTACAAATATCCCCTTTAACTGCATGTAAAAGAAACTCGAAAATTAACATGGGCACGTAAAAGTATAGAACCTTTTTATATAAATCTAACATCACGCCATCTTACGATCCTAAATACTTGATACTAGTGGCTAAATGAAGTTAGAGCTGAGTTGCTTGAGTTTCAGTATGACGATACCGCCGCTGAACTTTTGTAAACATGTGTATCATTTGGTGCAGTCATTATCTAATGCTGGTATATTAGTACCGTCATAACTTAAAACAGAAGCGGTCTTTATTTTCTATATAATAGTTAAATAGGCCTTGAAATGTAGAGCTACTGTTAATTTGGATCATACATTAACGCTGCTCTCAAGTTTGGTTTGTTTCACTACGGGTATTTAAACAAAGTTACACAAGGGCTGTCTGCGCTAATTGCCCCTAATTTTCAATTGATAAACTTGTAGGAAGGTAGTTGATCAACAGCACCTATCGCCAAGTTTCGAGCTATTGTTATCGAATAGTGGGATTGCACCGTAACTTTTAATGTGCATCCACGATCCCAAAGTGCAGCTCGCATTTTTTGGGTCAATGGGACGCAAATCTGGACCCTCAGATCCACAGTTCGGCACACTAACCAGTAGGCCGCTTAACTTAGAATGTAGATATCAGGTTACTATTTCTATTGTACTTACCTAATTATTCGAATTACTGATCTTCATGGTTCTTATTCACAACGAGGTAAGCTTTCAAAGTTTCTTGAATAGTTCTTTATCATTAATGGAATGCTGTTAAAGTATGCTTTTCTGTGTGCATTATTCGGGCCATAACATTTCTGTTTAAGTTCCATCTAATGGTTACTTTATCAACAGTTCAAGTTCTGTGGTTGGACTTTATTGTTGTGGTCACTGTAGTTATTGTTAACACTTGCGGAACAGATATTGTGCTGATATCTACTGGTAACTTGTGTTTGTGTAAATATTGTTTGGAAATTTCTTATATACTCTGAATTTGTTGAAATGCTTGAAGAATTGTTCTTTAACTGCGATTTTTTTGTTTGTTTTAAACGCTATTCTTATTGTTAACCTCATATTTCGTTAATTTTTTTAACTATCATTCACTGTGTGATCGTTTCAAACATTTTTTTATGTAAATTGTCTAAAAAGTATTTTTGCGAGACATTTTTTACACTTATTGTTACTGATTATAAATATTTTTCTGTCTAGTATTAAAACACATTTTTAACGTATTTTTTAAACTGGGAACAGCGTAGTAATGTTTTGCAATTTTAATAATTATCGAACTTTGATTGAGGTTTCCTGGCTCTTTTAATACTGTAAATCTCTACTTATTATTTGCATTTTCCCCAAATGATTTGAAATGGATGTTATCTAAACGTATCAGTATTCTGTTGCGAAACAGGATTCGTTACATTCAAACTGTACATATTTTGATATCAGTAATTCACAAAGCGACATAAGAAGGTTTCACATCTTCATTTTCATTATGAATGTTCTTGCCTTTCATGTTTAATTCCAGGAAACTTTACATAAAAAATGCAACATTAAAACTTAATTTTAAGTTTATGAAAATAAAACATTATTATGCTTATTTTAACATTATTGATATGACCTATTTTCTAATATATCTTGTGAATAAAACTATAAACCGTCGAAATGCTCTAAATGCACATTTAATCTTTTTTATTATTTGATTATCAACGTTCATATTGGGCATCAAAGGCTAATGCAAGCTAGTACTTCGTATAAATCTTTGATGCTGTGTCACACTAGTTAACAGAACTTTCAAGACGTACTGTACTAAACAGCTGGCCACTGATGACCTAACAAATTGGGTATTAGCCCATTGGCAGCTCAATACAAGGAACAACAACTGAATAGAGAGTTGTATTACGCTAACCTTTAGCAAACTGCTAGCTTTTTACACTGGGTTAATGCTCAGTTTTAATGTGTTATATTCGATATGAGAACATTGGTATCTTTTTATCGGGATAGCAATATATTTGAAAGTTGTTATATGAACAACAACAAACAAACAAAAACGTTTATAATGTATTATACTGAAAAGGAAAATACTAGGAAGTTTATAAGCCGAATTGAAGATACCGAATAGTATGACAATATATATATATAAGTATTATATTAAACAAAAGAGCATTGGTAGTGTTATAACCCTTATAAAAATACTACTGTATACTAAAATATTTAGTAAACTGTTGAAGAATGTAATATCCTATAGTACAGTACAGTATGAGTGTAGTTTACCGTAGACCAACTGTATCATATTACGATCCCACTATATCATACTGTAATATTTCGCTGTAGTAATTGTCCAAAACTCCTGTAGTTTATTATAGTGTATTTTCATAAGGGACTGAACTGTAACAACAATACGGAACAGTGGCTTTGTTAATGCTATAATTTACAGTGAGACAATATATACGTGTCATACTACACATGAGGGGGTTGGTAGTGTTTTACTGAACAGTAACACAATATATATGTTTCATACTACACATAAGGGCGTTGATAGTGTTTTACTGAATATTAAGACAATATATACGGAACAGTGATCAATATCTGGTTATCAGTACAACACTTTATAAACCTTCTGTTCAATGTAACACGTTTGAATATCCTCTTGTTTTAAGTAAGACTCTATCAACATCGTCTGTGTGGTACATATTGTCTCACTGTTCATTGTAACATTAACAAAGTGCATGAGGCACCAAATCATTTGTAACGTGTTATACAAAAGAAAACGATGACAAGATGCTACCTTTAACAGAAGAATATTGACATCAAAGGAATATTAAACAGAAGATACTTGGTACGTGTAACACTGAACGTTAGAACATTGGTTGTATTTGTAGTCCGCTTTGCCATCATGTAAGTGTTCCCTAGGATACTGATGTGAATAACAATAAAAAATAAGTTTGTTGATAATGAAACTGCGCACGACGTAAAAAAGTAACAAAGTTTTAATCACCTAGGAAGAAAGGAGGAAAAAGGAAGAGAAGGACAGGAAGAAGGCTGATGTGCGAAAACGTCTGGAGGAAGCAGCCAAGGCTAAGAAGGGCAAGAAAGGTTTTATGACTCCGGAGCGCAAGAAGAAACTTAGGGTTAGTTAATATTATAACAATGAACGTACATAATAACACAGGCTAGTATCATAACGATGAACGTACAAAATAACACTTTAATATTTCTATTACCAAAGGGTTTTACACTAAAATTTTTAATACATATTTATTCAGTGCTTAAAGCTGTTTCTTGTTGTAGTCATCCCGTATATCTTAATAGAGAACAAGGAAGAAGGTGAATATTGTGAAATATTAAACATATTTTAATGTATTAATAAAATATAGAACTGCCCCATATTACCATGGCATGAATAAAAGTATTAAGCATAAGAATTTCTCTGTATCCACGAAACTTCCAGTTAAATTCTGAAATTGTTTCTCATTTTGTTTTAAGGGTTTTGTTTCTAAAAAAAATTACTTTCCAGTGGATATGCGACTTTTTGAAAAAGTTTATCGTAAAAGCGTTGAATATATCCTACTCACTTTCTATGGAAGGATTGTCCTTTATTTGCACGAACAAACGTGTAGAAATCTCCAATCAGTACAAGTTAATTTCATAAAGGAAATTGTGGGGTAGAAGCTGGTAAAGACTTCATCATCATCAGTGTGGTTTAACTATTTGTTTGTATTCTTCGTTTACGAAAAGCTAGTGTTCAGAATGTACGGTGTTTAAATCATTTACAAACTTATCGCAATGCTTCATCGGATCTGTGAACGTGCAAGTAATGTTTAAAACAAAATGTTACTGCTTTATGGATATTGTAAATCAATCCCAGTTGTAGTGTATTTGTTTTCCCGAAAGGTGGCTTTAATTGGTTTTATTATTTACTCAATGGAACGATTTGTCGAATAATGGAATAGTTTGAGACTGTTGGTGTTATGTGAACAGTTTGACATGCAGTGTTTTCTAGGTTTTTGATTCTAATTGAACCCTTGATTTGTTCACGGTGCAGCAACTTCTGCGGAAAAAAGCTGCTGAAGAGTTGAAAAAGGAACAGGAAAGAAAAGCAGAAGAAAGAAAGAAGATAATTCTACAACGAACAGGCAACCCTAAATCAATGGATGGTGCCAACGAAGGTAAATCTCATTATGAATATCCAGTACAGTGTAGTGGAAAAGACGTAAACCTACAGTCGCTAATCACAGTTGGCCAGGTTTTTGTGGTTCATCTAAAAGAACCTTTCCACATTTAACATGGGAAATATTAGAAAGTCCTCATCTGACGTTTAATCAGTGTGATAGAAGGAAGTTTGGTAAAAGTACTTAAATATGCTTTGATAAACTTAAGATAAAAAACACGCAGACGTACTTAAATATGATTTGATAAACTTAAGATAAAAAACACGCAGAAGTACTTAAATATGATTTGATAAACTTAAGATAAAAAACACGCAGAAGTACTTAAATATGATTTGATAAACTTAAGATAAAAACACGCAGAAGTACTTAAATATGCTTTGATAAACTTAAGATAAAAACACGCAGAAGTACTTAAATATGCTTTGATAAACTTAAGATAAATAAAACACACAGAAGTACTTAACTATGCTTTGTTAAACTTAAGATAAAAAACACGCAGAAGAACTTAAACATGCTTTGATAAACTTAAGATAAAAACACGCGGAAGTACTTAAATATGCTTTGATAAACTTAAGATAAAAAATACGCAGAAGTACTTAAACATGCTTTGATAAACTTAAGATAAAAAACACGCAGAAGTACTTAAACATGCTTTGATAAACTTAAGATAAAAACACGCGGAAAGACTTCAAATCAGATAAATTCTAAATAGTATAATGAGTACAACAAGGAAATTTCCAACGCCCCTGAGCTGGATTGGTTAAAGTGGTATGTTTGGTTTTAGAGGCGTTCTTACTTGTTTTTTCCTGCTGAGTCAACTAAATTGTTTTGTTGTGGTATCTTTAGACATATAGGCTTTGCTTTGCTAGCCACATTCTCATAACCAATGTGATTTAGTAAGTTAAATTCAACATGTGGATACACTATTTAGAACTAAAGTGACGTCATTTTGACTAAAGTGACATTACGCTATCGTAAAACTTCAGCGTGTATTAGATAGTAAATCATTATTACGAGTACATTGATTTCTTTATGAGTCTGGTGCTTTATGTGCTGATTTGGTATTGACGATAAGAGCAAACAATACCTTCTTATCCACCTCTGAGAGAAAAAAAAACTAGTTTGGTTATTGGGATCTTGTGCTACACCACAAAGGGGTTGTTGAATGAGAAAACTGGCTTGGCTATTGGGATCTTGTGCTACTCCACAAAGGGGTTGTTGAATGAGAAAACTAGTTTGGTTATTGGGATCTTGTGCTACACCACAAAGGGGTTATTGAATGAAAAAACTGGTTTGATTATTGGGCTCCTGTGTTACTCAACAAAATACTTTTTTTTCGAATCTGGTCTCTCGATAGCTCAGTGATAATCCTGAGGGCTTATAATGCTAAAATTTAGGGTTTGATCTCTCCATTGGGCATAGCACAGGCAGACTATTGTGCAGAAATTCCCGTGATATGCAATCTTGTTACATTTAAATACCCAAACGTCGGTAAGAGCATAGATTTGCTTCATCAATACTAATTCTCATCTATCTATTTTCTAACACTTGTCACCATCACATCCAAGTTCCTAGTTAGATTTCTGAGTGGCTCAATGGTAATTATGAAGGCTTATAATTCTTAAAAACCGGATTTTGATATCGGCAGTGGACATAGCACAGACCACCCATTGTGTAGCTTGGTGCATAACTAGAAACAAACAAAATAGGTTTATTGCAATTTGTTTTTAAAGTAACTCTATTGAATTACGAGTAAAACATTAGACATAAAACAATGAATTATTATTTCTTCACATTTTGTTCACGTTAACACATAATGCACTATAGATGTCGACTACCTGCTGTAAAAAGAAAAGAAGAAATGGCTCGCGCTATTGAATTTATGAAAAGGTCATTCGACAATGGTCATTACCAACTGACTTAAAATTTTTTTAAGAATACAAACTGTGATAAAAGTATGAGAAATAAATTAAAAATTTAGAACGTTATCATTAGTATTTAACTAGGATGCCATTATCTCGAGCTATAATTGAGACGTGTTTGTGTGTTATATGGAATCGGGTTGTTTTCTCCCGGAACTAACGTCCTAAAGATTTTAACACGTGCATAGTTGTTTTTGTGCCAAACACTATTCATTTACTTGTATGTATGTTATATGTACCTATTTTGGAGAAATGAAACACAACCCTGGTAGAAATGTTCAGTAGATACAAATGATGAAATATATTATGTTTTTTGGCAGCAACGCTACAGGCTATCTGTAAAGAATACCACAAGAGGATCTTAGGCCTTGAAGACGCAAAATATGATCTGGAGTATGAAGTTCGCCAGAAAGATTTCTTGGTACGATCACAAAGTGTCAAGATTTTGTTTTTTTCATCCATGATAAAAGAACCGACACTGGAAGTTTGACTACGATTGCTCTTCAGACAGTATATTATTAAACACGACAATGCTATCTGAACAATTGTTTGTAGCATTCTAATAGCAGTCAAAAATTTTTCATACAAGAAACAAACAAACAAAAAGGCGAACAAAATAACTCGGAATATGAGGCCCAACTCTTTCTTCGACAGAACCACCGCAATACTGGTTATGCTGATTCCATGCTGTGGCAAAATCTTTGCGAAATAACTTATTACTATGTGGCTTTTTGCTTTCCATTGTAAAATTTTCGTTTTTGTTCTACTAATTGAGCTGTTTCAGTTTTCTTTCAGTTGGAAATGCTTGCGTCGTAAGTCTGTGACAGAAAGTTGTATCGAACGTGTGTGTGTGTGTGGCAAAACGTTGTACGTGTGAAACTAAAAATAGTGTCGTGTGTGTGACTAAAAGTTCTTTAACAGCCACGACATTGTTGTCCAAGGTTTCTCTGTTCATTGAACCACTTAAATTCTAATTCAACGAGAAAGAGGAAAAGCACCAGCTTTATTTTAACGTCTTATAGCCTGCTTTAATAAAGTGCAAACGTTTTATAGAGAATAACTTAGTAGTGTGTGTGTTTGTTTAAGTTTGATTTTTATATTGATGTGTTATCGCTTGTATGTTTCTTTTAATTTTTTTCAGTTCTGTTTTTTTTCTTTGTTCTTTGATTATGCTAATGTTTGAGGCTTAATTTGCGGTACAAGGCTGTTAACCGCAACGTATTTTTTATTTTATTATTATTTTATTTCAATAAATCTATGTGCTTCATTAGATGCTGTTACTTTCCCCCATTTTAGCAACCCTTCAAGCTATCTGCAAAGAATATTATGAACGTCTAAAACGTCTGGAATGTGAAAAATATGACATGGAATATTCCGTCAGACAAAAAGACTATGAGGTCAGTTTGTAGTTCTGCAGAAGTAGTCATGAAACGATGATGACAGACTCCCATAGATAAAAAATAATCTTCTTTCTCCGATCCCTATAGTTTTTCACAAACATTAAACACTTACACGATCATTGTAGCTTGGAATCCTCTTTTCTCTAAAGTCCCTCGATTGGACAGCGGCAAGTCTACGGACTTACTACGCTAGAATCCGGGGTTCGATTTCCCGCGGTGGACACAGCAGATAGTCAAATGAGGCTTTGCTCTAAACTAACCAAACTAAAACCGTTCTCTGAAACCTTAGGCTTAACCCAACATCACACTATCTGCAAAGAATAACGGAAATGTCGTCACCTGTCTGTTGGGTGAGCATTACTAAAAAGTAGTAGTCCATTCCTCTGTTATGTATCTGAACATACTGGAATAAACTTCAGTAAAGGAATTTTTCTTATGATAGTAAGTGGTAAACCTTTTTATCCCTTTTCTAATATATGTTATTAATATAATTTCTTTATAATTAAGTAAGTAATACATAAGTACAATAGAAAAAAAACTTAGACAAAAAGAATGCTAATGTAAGATGTAATAAATATGTCAATATCAAAAATATATTAATAAAATATTGCAAAGTGTGTTACTTTTAGTTAGGTTTATTTTTAAAATCAACCCACAACAAAACCATCGGAAAGAAATATTTTGCTTTCGCAACGTCATAAGAATATACCTTTAAATACACTTCTTCACAATATCATAAGAATATACCTTTAAATACACTTCTTCACAATATCATAAGAATATACCTTTAAATACACTTCTTCACAATATCATAAGAATATACCTTTAAATACACTTCTTCACAATATCATAAGAATATACCTTTAAATACACTTCTTCACAACGTCATAAGAATATACTTTTAAATACACTTCTTCACATGTTTATTGCAGATAAATGAGCTGAACATCCAGGTGAACGACTTGAGAGGAAAGTTGTAAGTTTGACTTTTTCCTAACCATGTTTACATATAACATTTGAAACTTTTTATAATAAAATTAAGATTTTTTTGTAGTTATGACCGTTAATTAGTGGTGATATTGGCAGTGTTGATATTGTAGGATTGGGCTTTATTATGATAGAAGAAGGTCTCAGCATAAGGTTTAAAAGCAGTCCAGAAGAAATTCTATCTCTATATAAGTCATCATGTATTTTAAAATTTTGAATTACTATTAGAACAATAGAATTGTAAGGTGAATTCTTGAATTATTGTTTGTAACCCCTATGATACATTTTTAATAGCACTTTCTAAATAATGAAAAATATTAAATAAAAACGCGTGATATTTAAAATAAATAATTGAAACGGTTTCTCTACTGTTTACAATTTTCCGCAACTGATTTAAATGGGTTTTGTGACAGTTGCAACTGTTTCTAAACAATTTAAGCTTTTTTATATTCAAATATATCTGTAAACAATTCAATATCTTTTCTAACATTTATTTTTTTCTCTAAACATTTTGCCCCCCCCCCCCCAGTGGCACAGCAGTATGTCTGCGGACTTACACTTCTAGAAACCGGGTTTCGATACCCGTGGTGGATAGAGCACAGCTAGCCCTTTCTGTAGCTTTGTGCTTATTAATAAACAACAACACTCTAAATATTTGTTTTATCTTCAAACCTCTGAAAGCTGGAATTTACTCGTACGTATTTCTAATAAATTTGTTTGTAGATAATTAACAAAACACGTTTAGACACAAAGTACAGAAAAAAGAAACAGAATAATGAATTCCATATATATTTGTGAGATTTTACCGAATCATTGGAAGTTTGTTGTTTTGGTTTCATGATACTATGTTAATAGATTTGGAATAGAACACCATGTATCATTGGTTGATTGGCATGTCGCACTGCTACAACTCAAAAGTAATTTCCTTTGATCAAGGATGGATTGGGGATTAAAAACGGCACAGGAAATTATTTTATACCAGCCTTTCAATGAGGTTGAGGGAGAATGATTTGTAGAGAAACTGGGCGGGATGTTGTATAGCCTATAATATGCATTAATGCAGTTATACATTACGCAAGATATGTCATTTACAATTCAATGTGATAGTACAATGTTGACCTATATGACCCCAAAATTATAGTTTATCGCTTATTTACGTTAGAAGCTGTTAATTTGGCACCTGACCAAACACAGCTTAAATCGTTTTTTTAATGGGTCTTTGATAGACAGTTGTGGATTGGTTGATTAGTTTTTACAAAGTCATTTAAACAAAATGTAATTTTTTATCTTCTTTAAATTAGTATTTTAAATTATTGGGATTAATATTTAAATATTTTTTCTATTTTATTCTGTGCTCAGCGTAAAACCAACCTTGAAGAAAGTATCCAAGTATGAAGGAAAGTAAGTAATATGTTACTTTTCAACAATGTAGTGATTAAAGAACTAAGTTTATTACATGCTAAACCAACTATATTAACTAATCTATGTGAAAGGTAAAGACGCTCATCGTGTGAACGATGCGATGAAAGGCTATTGCTTTGCCAGACGTCTTGTGTTTTCAATGTAAATTGTCAATTTCTGAGGTTTTAATTTGCTTTTCAAATGAAAATTATCTTTTAAAGATAAATATTTTCAGCATTTTTTTTTATAAAAACTGAAGAAAGTATAGTGCTGGGTGACTTAATCTGGGAACAGTATTTTGTAGCTTTGTGAAAAAAGAACCTTAAACTGACTAGTGCTTAATTAGGTACTTGAGGAATTAGGCTAGGAAAAAAAAAGAGGGAGAGAGAGACGAAGTAACGCAGTTATGTAAAGTTAACTACTTTAAAGCGATGAAGTAACTTACTGGTGTTAAGTTAGCCACTTTAAAAGAGACGAAGTAACGCAGTTATGTAAAATTAACTACTTTAAAGCGATTAAGTAACTTACTGGTGTTAAGTTAACCACTTTAAGAATGACGAAGTAACGCAGTTATGTAAAGTTAACTACTTTAAAGCGATGAAGTAACTTACTGGTGTTAAGTTAGCCACTTTAAGAATGACGAAGTAACACATTGGTTTATAGACAACTAATTTGTAGAAACGACATTAACATACTGGTATGATGAAGTAACGTACTGTTGCAAAGTTAACTATTTTGGCGAGCTGAAATAAAATATTGGTGTAAAACTAGCTACTTTGTAAAATGAAAAAGGAGAAAAACTTTTACCACAGAAAATGTAACTGACAAACAGTTGTCTTTTAATGTTCGCAATGTGTCAGGCCTGGAATCCCTTCCTGTTGTGATTTTCAACTTTGAAAACATTCTTTAAAGAGGTGATACAACGTATTGGTACGAAGCTAACTACTATTCCATCCACGACAGTCTATATTTGAAACGCATTCTTTAATATATGTATGTATTTATGAAAATAGCATGTTAAGTATAGATAAAGAATAGTGAATATCGTTGTTGGTTTGAGAATATTTGTATAGGGTCGGACAAAATAATTATTATGTACGATTAATTGTCGTTATTCTTATTTTTTACTGAATAAAGGTTTGAAAAACTCAAAGCCATAGCTAAGAATGCGGATATGGACTTCCGTGCCACCCTGAAATCTATTAACAAGGATAAGTTCAAGCTTGGAGAGGAGAAGGAGGTAAGTTTTCCAGAATTTTCTACAGGAATTTCAATCAGGCACTACAGTGAAATAATTCAACCGTTTTGAACTTCCAAAATTGTAATTTTTTTCCATAACGACTGTAAGAAAACTCCAGTAAACACTAATGTCAAGAGGTTAAGCAGAAGCTATTATTTGTAAAACTTGGCGTACAGAGTGTGGATAAGCGTAGATAAATTGCTAGGCAAACCACACATAACTGTGGCATAACACCCTGAAACACAAACAAAATATTACTGACACCAGGTTAAGACTAATGTGAACAGTGAAGCAACAGAGTGTTTAAGAATGTTTACTTTAAGCAACTTAAACAACTTGTCATCATTGACGCCATTGTACAATGTCTGCCAATCTTGTGTGTGTGAATCTTTATTAAACACAACTATTTCTCTTTAATGTAACTCCCTGGTTCGTGTTTTATCTTCTAAACACAAGTTTGAAGATTAAAAAAGTCCTTTACGTTTTCGTTTCCTTTCTGTTTCATCATGTGAAAAATACTATGTGTGTCAACATGTGTCTCCACTTTTTTTTATACTCAACTTCTCAATGCTTTTTCTTAATGTTTTGTAGAATGTTTTTATAGAATTACACTAATATTTTTGTTTAACATCTTTGTAGTTTTGGTGCTTTTAATTTCGCAGTAAATGGAAAGTGTTCCTATTCTGTAAGTTGTCACGATTGTTTGATCGTATGCTGAGGTGATCTGCCATTGGATGCTATACATATCCAGAAAGAAACAAAAACTATGATGTCACAAGTTCAGAAGGTTCATTATTGTGTGTGAAATCATGAGCACCGAGCTACGTCACTTGTCTCCATCGTCTGTACATTGTTATAAATTTAGTCCTTAAATATTATTTACTTCACTTCCTCAAGTAATAAAAATATAAAACTTTTTATTGCATTCAAAAGTGTAAGGAAAATCCAGTTGAACTTCCGAAAATTCTCGTTATACAGCTTGAGGATCTTACACGATAGGGGTAACTCAGTGTTTTATAATTTTGCTTTAGGTAATGAATGATAAGGCCTTATTAGCAATCTCTTCCTTAACACCCTACCGTATTTCTGTCGAAACTCAAATCCTACTGTTAACCTTAACTGCTACTAAAAACAATCTTGTTCTTGTATCCAGTCTTTGCTCAGGACCTATTGTGTTTATGTTGTGTATTCTTACCCTTGTGTGTTCTTTGTTCCACAGAAGAAAAAAGGGGCGCCGGAATGGGCGAACAAGTAACCTTCGTCTCCCCGTTTATTCAGTAACTGAAGTTGGTAAACTTCGGTTTGAACCTAGCTATGTAAATTTCTGTCTGGTTGTCTGTTTACAAATTTTCTGTGCATAATTAATGCTTAGAACAGCTGGTTTCTGAGGATGAATCATATTCACTTATGAAGTGATTACAGATCTAATAAAAATCTTGCAGATTAAACACGTTATTCTCTACAATGACAGATGTTTATTTTTACATGAGTAAAATTTTCTGGCTAATCAAGCCAGTAATTTTATCCAAGATGTGTCATCACAAAATGTAGCATTCCGTCAAGCAGGCAGAAAAAAAGGTCTTTGTATTGGAAGTTGTTTTTCGAACATATTTTTCTTTACAAACTCTTATACACATATAGAGAATGTTAAATAAACACATGTATCAAATGGCTCAGTGTTATTACTGCGCTTTTAACTAATGAAAAAAAATACTTAAGATTGTTGAAACACTATCAAATTTTTAGACTCGTAAATTTTTATTTCAGTATTGTATATATTCAATTATTTTTGTTGGTCATAAAGCACACGCAAGAACATATTTTATTTTAAAGCTATGATAAATACAATTGATCATCCGATGAACAAATTTTCCCTCCAACGTTTCATTGAATTAGTTTTAACAGAAATTATTTTACATTAACCAACATGGCGTAGTTCAATACGTCAAAATTGGGAATAAAATGCTTTCACGTGTTGATAAGTCGTATATTTAATATCAATTTAAAATGTTGTAAGAACTTAACTGTGTATTTGGCGAACGGTTTTAATCCACTTTACTGAACTTAAATGTGAATTTGGGAATCATGGCGAACGGTTTTAATCCACTTTACTTGAGATGTTTCAATAATTTCATACTACTTATGAAACATACAATATCTTGAGCTCGGAAAACACTAAATGAAAGAAGTGCTGTATTGAATTATTTTTTATTAGTTTAAAGCATTTACCAAATAATAGTAAAATATTTTGGGTCATGCGACAGAGAAGTGACACCGAACACAACAAGCAGTGCATTTAAACGTTGTATTGACTTAAATCCTAACATAAATGTTATATTACCTTCACTGATGATTGCTGAATTTCTATTTATAATCATAATTTTAACACGTCATTTAATATAACGTTTTTCCTAAAATATTTTACTTTATCGATCAACACAATTAAACTTCGTCTGTCACGTTTTATCTAACACATCACGTGTTTTAATAACTGATATGACAAAATGACGAATTAGGGTAATATTGTTTTTAAGCTCTATGCTTAATTACAAACAAACAAACATTAACTATAGTTGCCTTTCATATAATATGGAAGGTAAATTTTTAGATGTTTAATTTATGTTTTGAAGTTTTATTTTCTAAGAAATATAATGCAAATGATAAATATACGACATAGTTATACAAAATATAAAAACGAAGGTTATACAAGTTCCCGAAGGAACTAAATATACTTTGAGTAGTACGAATTTCATATATGTAGTCTATGATATTTTAGCCTTGTTCGTCCTTACAGGACAGCTCTTATTTCAAGTGCAACAAAAAGCAAAACTATACGAATTGTGGCACAGAATCATTAAGTTCAGTATAGAAGGAAGAAGTATTTAATAAATTTGCTGCTTAGTGAAAATTTGTATGGGTGAATTAACAGATTTCAGAATACAAAATTTTGTCGGTAGCTATATTTGTTAAGTTGAATTAGAATAAGTTTAAGCGTTGACCCACGTGCAGAAACCTGCACCACACCTAAACTTACATACACTGGGTGTTTGTGCATGTACTGGTTTGTTTACCGTTCGTGCGTTTAATAATATACATCGTTTCTGTGACATAAGAGGTTCTAGCTTCCCGGGGGGAGCCGAGGGTTACTTTTTTCAGTGACATCATCCTGAGGACGATCTGGAAGATACCAGTTTTTATAGAATTGGAGCAGGTATGATTTGTGAACATTCAATGTTAGCAACAGAAACATTAGTTTTAATGTTTAGTGACGAACCTACTGAACCGAATAATTAATTCAAAATACAATAACAACAACTTTTACAGTAGGCAAGTTCATATCTTGATAATTACAACGTTTCGACACGTAGTATTGAGTCATCATCAGGTAAGAGTTACATCTGAAGATGACTCGATACTACAGGTCGAAACGCTGTGATAATTAAAATAAGAACTTGCCTAATCTAAAAATAGCTGTTATTGTATTTTGAATCAAACATAGTTTGTTGTTTTTTTGTGTAAGCTCTACAACTTTGTCTCATAATAACTATCAAATGTAACACGTGAATATTCACCTGTTTTAATGTTAACCTTCTCATTGGAAACTGTGATCTTTTAATTGTTTATAGTCTTTGTATCGTAAAAACTAATTTGTCAATATATTAATACAGCTATGATGGACTTAAAAAGGAAAAAACTATCATATATTAGCTTCACTTCGTTATGTCATGGATTCTCTATTTTATTCATGACATATCCTGTTTGTATATTATGTTGAATTATGCTTTGTATCGTGTAAGCGTTTAAAACTTAAGTCACAGTTATCGGTAGCATTCAATTTTATTTCACGTGACCTTCAATAAATAACAATTCATTATAAACATAAAAAAACAAGAAACAATTGAAATACTTTCCGAGTTTTTGAAATAATTCGAATCTTTATCTTTTTCTTAAGTTTTGAAATAACTTTTTATGACCCGAAAAAGTTTTCATATTTTCATTGGTAAATAATAGGCAACATTAGTGACTGTACAGAGTTTGTCATAAATTTCATTCAACTGAATTTTTGAATTGAATTTTCATCAAATTACTTGCAAACTATCTTATTATTTGTTATTATAGTAACAATAATTTGAAACAATAAGAATATAAAATATGCATTTAGTCTGTTTTTTAAAGTATATGAAATGTGATAAAATTAACGGTCTATAAGATATATATCTTATTGAATAATAAGTTTGAAAAAAAAGAGTTTAATAATTACATTAAAGCAAAAAGTTTTTTTTATTTACACAGTGTGTAATCTTAATTGAAGAACAACGTTTCCCAATCTTTATAACTTATGCCTCCCTCCCTTTCTACCACATGTTTTTACTAGCAGAAAAAGTCATCAGACAGTTACCTAGTTAAATTTTATAAAGTCTAACCTGTTTTTAACTGTTTTTTATTCTTTTGAAGTGTTAAATCAAATATTATAAGTATTTGGAATACGAGGTACCCAATTATTGTCCACAAAACCACGATACCTATATACGTATGTGTATATCCTACCTTTAGTCCGAGAGACCAGAGTGGGCGCTTGGGAAGAAGAAAGAGGAGGGGGAGAAGAAAGCAGCAGGTGAGGGAGAAGAAGAGGAACAAGAGGAAGAGGAGGAGGAAGAAGAAGAAGAGTAGTAGACTCCTGTTGAATTTATATCAACAGGTGACCATAATATCAATATCATATATATATACCAGAAATATCTTGACGGTTTCCCATGAGTTAGCTATACCTGAAGGCCAGCCAGTGAAATATACCTTCAGCTTATAAACTCAAGACCAAAATGTATATTTCGACCAACTAAAGTCTTAGCAAGTAGTACGAATCCCCTATTTTTGTGGACTTTCTACAGTGTAGGAACAATATTCACCATTTAACTCGGCATTCCTCAAATCCGCCAGTATTTTACGCCTTGACTTGTACCGTCCTAGATATTTTAATATTATTTATTATGGTGTATTCTTGCGCCTGTTCAAGTTAGTAGAAAATTGCGTAATTATTCCATAGCAAAATATTGTGACATAATGTAAGGTAAACTGAACATATTGTAATACTTCTCTGCGAATAAAAAGTGATTACGATTCATAGAATACTGGTGTTTGCGTGTTTCAAAAACCAAGAAATAACGGTTCGAGATCTTTTACATAACCAGTGAAAGTAAATTAAACGATACTTATCTCTTGACCTGAATGTAAGACTTCACAGTTAAAACGTGTAACGAAGTAACACAGTGAACAGTAAAACTATATTACATCACCTAAGAATATTTGTAGCTCTTTTTATGAAATAAATTTTAAACAGAACTCATCTTGACGACGTGCTTATTGAACTACAAAGTTACTATTAATACTAAGAAAATGAACGAAAGGATCCTGATGCCAAATGAACAATACTTATAACTTATTATTAATGCCTGTTAATATTTTGTTATATACTCCAAGTACACTGGTTAAGTCGTCTGTTAAATGTAGATTATAACATGGTAATTAATTTGAAACTTTGTACTGTCAGTTTCGGTTTGTGTTTTAGTGAACACTCCTGAAGAAGCTGTAAAGCAAAACGTTGAGTGTCTAATTAAATAATAACATTTTGGTGTTATAAGGTCGTTTATTTCTAGTGTTAACGTGTCGTCTATGCACAAATATGCACTACAGGAATTAAATAATGACTTTACAAAGTTACCATGTTCCAGCTGTAGTTCGTGACAATCATTATTTATCAATTTTTTCTTCAGGTGGCCTGAATTGTGACAAGCTTGCTATCGTTCTAATCTACATTTAACAGACGACTTAACCAGTGTACTTGGAGTATATAGCAAAATATTAACAACCATTAATAATAAGTTGTAAGTATTGTTCATTTGGCATTAAGATCCTTTCGTTCATTTTCCTAAAACTTCAGCTCCTTAGTTGCCACCAAATATAATGTCAGCAACAATTTTTTGTTACAGGAATTTTGCGCAAAACTCCACAAAGGTTACCTGCGCATAATAGTCCCTAATTTTGAAGTGCTGGACTAGAGGAAATGCAGTTAGTCAAAAGCACCCACCGCCAACTTTTTTTCTGACCGAATAGTGAAATTTGTCCACCACTGTTATAGTTCAGCGGAGCACATTTTTACGGCAATAGGATTCAAACTATGAACCATCGGATTCACAGCCCGGACACGCAAACAACTAAGTCAAGGAACAAAAAAACCTACAACAGTGTTTGAAGCAAACTACTAGTGCTTATACGTTCTATAAATAATGTTACTTTTTAATCCTATGGGTTAGAATGTTAATTATATGTATATATATATATTATATATATATAGTTATAATTTTTCTTATTTTTATTAAAATATCATTTTTAATTGTTAAATTAATTGTTAGCTTAGTAAATGGATTCGGGCCAAATTAAATCTCATATCACTCAGTGCAAAGAACTGATGAAAATTTGTGTGAAATTGATTATCTTCTGCGTGTAAAACAAAAACGCACAGAAGAATAGTAATAATTAATGGGAGTTATTGCAATACTGACAATTTTCAAGAAACCGATGAAAAAATTTTGTGAAATCGATTATTTTCTGAGTACAAGAAAAACAACAACAACAATAATTAATGGGAGTTATTGCAATACTGACAATTTTCAAGAAACCGATGAAACAATTTTGTGAAATCGATTATTTTCTGAGTACAAGAAAAACAACAACAACAATTAATGAGAGTAATTTCGAAGGATGCATTTCACTTGTTAATTTTTAACAGACTAATATATAGGTGTAATTCAATTTCCTGTCAACCTAAAGATAGTGGGAGCATTGTTTAGATGTAACGATAATTATAAACAGAATTTTGCACATTGTAAACTTGATTATTTTTCTTACGTATGTATTTTATTAGTTTATTTCGTAATTTTCTAATACACGGATATTTTAAATCAATTATATGTCTTAAAAAAAACAAAAATAATTAAACTGGAGTACTGTAACCACTTTAAACCACCAAATAGGCTTCAACAACACTTTAGGAAAATAAAATAAGTTCAAAGTTCAGTGGAACTTAACAAAGTTGAATTTAAAAATTGACCGTAAACCGCGATATATGTCTAAAAATGCAAACAGAAAAACCGACCTTTTCGTTACGTCATTAGATAGTAGCCAATTATCTTCAGTATTCCACCGCAATTGTGTCTAAGTCGGTTTAATTCTCACCTAAGTTAGGGCTATCCATCAAAGCCACATTCTAATGTATGTTTACAAAGATTTCAAGCTATTTTCATGCTCCAGAAAAATTTGTCAATGATAATCTAGCTGAAACACATTATCATCTTATGAAAAAGTGATTTTCAGATAAACCTTTTTCATCAGCATGTTTACCAGTCGTACCAGACTTTAGTTATAAGTGATTACTATAGAATATTATATCTTTGTGCTCATGGAGAGACTTTCACTATAATGTTTTTACTTTAGTTATAAATTCTAGGAGACATCTTTCAAAACATTCACCTTATAGTGTGCCGTAATGAGATCGACCTAAGCCTTTTCTGGTTTGTGTGATCTTTATGTAGTGTCCCTCGGTGAGATAGCGATAAATCTACGAACTTACAACGATAAAATCCGAAGTTAATTCCCAGCCGTGGACACAGCAGATAGTTCAATGTGGCTTTGCTCTAAAACAAACAAACAAACTTTATGTAGTATTCCAAGTTTACCGCATCCAGAACAAACTAATAAATGATAGACTCGTTTTAATATCATTACTTGCGTAACGTAAACCAAAACGATTAATAGTCATTATTCCAATTGGAATTTTCGGGTTTCATAAGTAGATCCATTGGTAAAGTTTTATGGATTTAGTCGTTACCAATGTTAAGTTGAAAGTAGGTAGCCAACTTTTAAACAGAAATCCCTTAGTTGAGAAACTACATTTTAAAGGCATTACTTTCAGCTTTAAAAGTTTTGCATATGTAGAACAAACCTTTCTCAGTGATAGTTCTTTACTAATAATACAGGCCCGCGAATTTAAACTTCATAAAAGTTGTTTAGGTTTTAATTACGGATTTTCCATAATTCAGCTACGCAGATTTTGAAAATAATAATATTATTTTTCTCTCACGTAATGATTTTTTACAAATCTGGAATAAAATTAGATCCAATTTACCACAAATATAACATAATATGTTTGGGTCATTTACACAACCTCTTGTTGCCATAGCGACAAATAAACAATATTTAAAAGAAAAACAATGTTAAAGTGCACAAACAAATACTATCCAGAAATAACACGTCATGCGGCCTGTTAACCGCTTATATACTAGCGGTGTGTTTCTCGTGGGTTCTAAAACGATCGATAAGACTCTCACGTCGCGATTGGTCTAGAGAAATTGATAGCCAGTGGTTGTCAACATTTTAAGCATAATAAAATGTGACCCGATTTCAATGAAAATGATTCACTTATGTAAAAGTACATATGACGTTTTGTGAAAAAAATCTGCACGTGATGGAGACAAGTGGACATCTTTTTCGGATTCAGCGTACAGGAATTGCTGTAGAACATGTAAACATTTCAAGACAATAAAACCATAGCAGGCCTGTGTAATCCGTTCAGGAGCAAAACCAGTCAGAACGTTAGCATGCTAAATTTTCATCAATAAAATCTTCAGATAGCACGTAACATAATGAAGGTTAAAACTGTGAATACAATGATATAAAAACTAAGTTAATAAAACACAAAGTTTAAAACCAATAGTCAGATGCTTTGACTGTGGCTTCCGCCTTCGTCAGTGGTATGCCGATGGTACAGTCTGTGGAACTTATATGTATATAGTAAACGTGATCCCCTTGGACTCAGATTAAAATAACATAGCGTGGTATTCTATAGGGATTTGTACACTTCGTGATTCACGTTATTCTCTGACGTAGCAAATTCCCGAGATTCTCCAAATACGCGTAAAAATTTATTTATGAGCTTAGTTAGAATGTCAGCGTTTTCCCAGTCGGGAGAGGGACTTTTAGTTAAACTTCGTACATCAGTATGTTTAGCAGTTTAACTACACTTTAAAACATTTCGATGTTTTTGCTCCTGGAGAGATTTTAAAGATTTGTGTCAAGCACTAACATGCCAGTACATGTCATAAGCTGCAAATGGTGTAATTATGATCATTACAGAAGTTTTTATTCGTTGGTGTCAGTTTCGAACACCTTGGTTTAAGTTATAGGAAATATGTATAGTTAATAATCGCGCCTGACTTTAGCAGAAATAAATGAATACCATTTTTTTTTTTTATGAAATCAGATTAAATCATTCTGAAGATTTAAAACAGTGCCTTGATTTTCTAGTGTGGAAGTTCCTGATTGGAAGTCAGTTTTCCCCCGGTGGGACAGCAGTAAGTTTATGGTCTTTCAACACTAAAATCCAGGGTTAGTTTTCCTACGGTGGACACACCAGATAGCTTAATGTGACTTTGTTCTAAAAAAACAAACAAATGGAAGTCAGTCCTACACTGTAAAGACATCTGTTTATTAAATCTTAAATGGAGCTGAGACTGGGGAAAACTTTGAAACGAAAACAGACAACAACCAAGGCTCTTGCACATAGCGATAATTTCTATTTTGTGTAGTGTATCAAACCAGGAATCCCCAAAATAGTTTTAATGTTCAACAATATTATTTCTCCACGAAAGAAAAGCGATGGTGAAATATACTAGTTAGTTGTTACTAGTGCAGCGCCTTTCTTAACGATAATAGTCGTACTGGTTTCACTAGGTAGTTGTTACTAGGGCAGCGCCTTCCTTAACGATAATAGTCGTACTGGTTTCACTAGGTAGTTGTTACTAGGGCAGCGCCTTCCTTAACGATAATAGTCGTACTGGTTTCACTAGGTAGTTGTTACTAGGGCATAGTGAAACCAGTACGACTATTATCGTTAAGGAAGGCGCGGTAGTTGTTACTAGGGCAGCGCCTTCCTTAACGATAATAGTCGTACTAGTTTTGCTAGGTAATTGTTACTTGGGCAACGTTTTCCTTAACGATAATAGTCGTACTGGTTTTACTAGGTAGTTGTTACTTGGGCAGCGTTTTCCTTAACGATAAAAGTCGTACTGATT